TGGCAAGATCTCTCCAAGCTGACTTGAGTGGAACAGTAGAGGATGTTTTCTGTTTTATTTAGTTTTCTCTTCCTCTGTACCCAGATCTCTTCTGCCAGAATACGTAAAAGGAGGTAATTGTGCCCATTGCTACTCCTTTATGGCCATGTGGCTAATAATTCTTTCACATCTTGAGGGATGCAGATTGGTGGCAGAAAGCAACAAGAATGTGTTGAGAGATTTCTCTCTCTTCTGGGTGATAGATGCAGGAATATGCAGGAACAACACAGTCGATTGATTGATAGTGTGCAACTCATCCATAATGATCTGTCTGATATAGCAGTAAATTATTCTTGAGATTGATGCAGGTCATTGAACAGCACATTGACAATCCTGTTGTCTGTCATCCTGTTCAAACCAAGTCAGAAACAGTAGCTGCTGTGATACTCAAGTGTACCTTGGGTGCAAGCTGTGTACAGGTGTTCCACTAATATAAGTTGCTGTCTTCTCCCTTCATTTTTTTTTCGTTGGGTACCTCAGCTTCATTGCTAGCTCATTCCAAGTAACAGTAGAAATAAGATGAGGTATTTTTAGAAGAGAAGGTTGTAGTCTGTTGCACTGATGATTGCATATTGACATAAAATTAATTTTTGGAAATGTTGGGTTTTGAACTTCAGCAACAAAACATCTCCATGGCAAAGTTGAAAAGTTAATAAGTAATTTAGAAACATACCTGATTGTTGCATGGAAAATTGTAAAAAAAACCCCACCTTCAAGCTTAAGGCAGAAAGGATAATAATTCTCAGAAATTTAAAACTTATGTTAGTCTTCAGGTTCCATGAATTATCATGATACTCTTGCCATGTTACTCTGGTTCTTGTCTTGGTAGTGATGGTGAAGTTGTCCTCATTTGCCTCTTTCAGTTTTTCTTGTCAAGAGAAAAAGTTTGCATTTTCCAGTCTGCCAAGTTGCTTGCACTTGAAGATGAGGAGGAAGGAGCCACATATGCCAAATTGTATGCGTTTTACTTTCCAGTTTAATTAAGAGTGTTGGTGAGGGTGGAGCATAAAATAGCCATATCCTTCTTTAACACATGGGGTCAGCAGGGAGTATAAGGCAAGTGCTCTCAGCATTGCAGACTGGGTGATTACGCATGACTTGTTAACCTTCTGAAATGTTATTGATTTTTTTTTTTTTTAAACTTGAGAAGAATAACCATAACTCTTAGCTGGAAGTAATGAGACCTGCTTCATTTGGCTGCTAAATGAGTCAGCAGAAAACCCCAGCTTTCCTATGCAGGGTTCTAGGACTTGACGTCCTGTCACAACGGGCATGAAGTTTTTCAGGTATTTGGATGTTTTCCACACTAGACTTCGCCCTGCCAGATATTTACTTGAACCTGACATCTTGTCACAAAAGGCACGAAGCCTTTCAGACTACTAGATATCTTCCACACCAGACTCTGCCCTGCCAGTTACTTTATTTTAAATTGAGTCCCTTGCGCACAGTCATGTGAGAGAGTTATCAGCACCCCAGTCTGGACTCTTCAGAATCAGCAAACATCCACGAATGATGGACTTGAAGAAATTCCCAGGAATTTAGACTTTTGATGCATGGAAAAAAAGATTACTTGTTCATAGAAAACCATTGCTTTCTGGGCAGTTCTGTGTTTTCCTCTACACTCTTGTTCTGAAGCTGACCTGCTGAATACAAAGTCCTGACAGACAGATGAGATTTGGGTAGCAACTTTTTATATAATTTTGAGAATTAAAAAACTTAGTTTTTTAAGTTCGTGTAGACTGTTTATGTACTATTTGACTAAGTGCTGATGTGACTATATGAAGTTCTACTTTTATGTGTGCAAATCTAAATGCATGCAAAAATCTGTAATTACATGTACAAATTTTATTGAACATTCCGAAATATATGAGGGTCATGATATTCCTTGAGAAACTGCACTATTTCTTTCTTTTTCTAATTGATACAACTGTTGGCATGACTCCATATGAACCACTCATTCAACTACAAACAATTAGGGTTTGCAGCATATTTCAAGACACGGTAAAGAACAAGAGCACTTCATTCAGGTAATAAGAACCATCGAGTCCATGTTGTTATTTACTTGCCCGAACGTACCGGCCCCCTTCTTGGCATGACCCATGCAGCTTGCCTTGGTTTTCTGGTTTCTTGCCTCAGGTGAAGATACAGGGATAGAAATTCAAGCAAAGATCATGGAAAACAAAAACTGATGCAGACAGGATAATATATTATTTCCTCATATTCTGTGATGGTGTATAAAAGTTTGAGAGATCCTTTTTCTTATTATTCCTTGAAGCTGTCAGATCTCCCAGGCGATTTATCGAAAATGGTAAACCATTCTATCCTTTCTGAGTGCCTGAAACTATGATAAAACCAAGTACTAAATACTAACAATTTAAAAATAACAGCATTCTATTCTGCTTTTTTTTGGTTTTGTTTGTGGGTGTGGTTTGGGGTTTGTTTGTTTGTTTGTTTGTTGTTTCAAAAAAAGGCTTTCAAGGAGCTTTTTTAAAATATCCTGCGTACTTGGGGCCTGCACATGTCACGCAGTAGCTTACCTGTACTCTCAGTTAAATTCATGTATAAAGAGGTTCTGGACAGTTTAAAGGAGATGTAAAGGATACTGAGAATATGAATAAAGGGTAGATATTCATTGTTATTCTCCTAGACTTTTCTGCCGTCATTGAACATTGTTGTCTGTAAGATAAATTCTCCAAGAGCAGTTGAGAGAGCAATGTACCCACCGCGAAGTGATTTAAAATTGCTCTTCAACTGCTAGATACCTTGTTTGTAGAGTCCCACAAAAATAAATTCTTATGCTGGTCCTCCTCAGCAGTTATGTGCAGTTACAAGATGACTGGTCTGTTGACATGACTTCAGGAGACTTTCTGGTAGAGGTAAGATGTAGCTCCTTCCTTGGAACTAGGCCAAGCCTGAGTGCTTGGTAAACACTTGGGAAATAGCAGATTTCATGACTTTATGGTCCAGAATGCTCGTTTTGGTTTGTGTTCATTTGATTTTTTAACTTGGCTTTTCACTAACACAGCGATGTACATATTAAAAAGAAAAAAGCTATTATAGATTCAAAACATAATAAAACCTAGAATCTTTTGCCCTCTCAAAACAAGATACTTCACAGAGCACAATTCTCTCCCTGCAGAGAAAATGAGAGAACAGACAATACATGACAGATTGTTCATATTCCTTGGGTACTGCGATGATAAACATTGTACATGCCGAAGAACTTGTATTACACTAGAATAAAAAGTAGAAGTAAAGATTGTCCAATACGCTTCTTTATTCCCAGAATTAGAAGTCCCTTTGTTTCTTTTGTACATTAAAATGTGATTTTATAACTAAAGACAAGTCTGTAGAGGCTCCTAAATCAGTTACAGACGTTCTATTTGAAGACTGCCATGGAATATGAGTGGACACGTTCCTACAAAGCCACAACTCTTCTAAACTGAAAACAGAATATTCTGCAAACTTATTTTGGGAAAGGTGCTCATATAATTATGATTGAAAGTTATTTTTATTTATAGTTTATGTGCAAAAAATTGTCCATAGGGAGTGTGGATGCTATTCTAAAGCTCTGTGTCATTTTTCAACTTGTCTTTAATTTATCCTGAAGTTTGAACACAGAGTGTATATGACGGAGGATGTTGCTAGTTTGGAGCCAGAGTATTGAAAATCGCCAAAAAAGTTAAACCAGCAGAATGCCACAGCAAGCAAATGAAATGCTACCTACTCACCTTTTTCCACTGCAAGAGGAGGCTTCTAGGAGCAGTCTTCCTAACAGATGGAGGGAACTCCCAGTGACCGTGACGTGGATGTATAGTCTAGACTAGACACTTCTGCCTTACAAGAGCTGACCTTCAGGAGAGCAGCTGGGCTGTGACTTCTTGTCTTCATGTGGGTTGGGGATGAGTATGTCCAGATCAGAGTTTGTAAAACTGGTTCCAGGCTTCTAGTCTGGCCTAGTTTGCATGTATTAGAAACGGTAGAGTATGGCAATTACGGGTTTTTCCTATTCTCTTTTGATATGTTTCTGAAACCAGCATGTTCTAGCATTTGAACATTTCTATTTCCGCTAGAATTAAAAAATAAGAAATGAGAAATTCAGCAAAGCCTGAATTGGTGCTTACTGCAGCTGACAAAGATTCTCTTTGATTTGAAGATATATTGGGGCAACCTATCTTGAAAGCATTCACTCCTTGAGTCCTTACTGGTGCCAGCCAGACTTCCCTTAAGATTCATTTGAAAAGACTAAGGCTAAGTCATGTCTATCTATTCAGTTCTGGCAGTATCTTAGAAATAACTGATTTATGTCAGCAGAGGTAAGTTGTTGGCATAGATAAAACCAATATTTTTTGACTACTAAAACAGTAATTGCGTAGAAACCCAGAGTTAACACTTTTTGTGTTTGTTTTGTAAAGCCAGCAACCACCACTTCCACCTCTCTTAAAATCACCTGCGCTATTTGATAATCATACACAAATAGTTCCTGCACCTGTCATTTTTTTTCAGGTTGTCCTCAAACTCAGCATCCAAACCAAGATGTGTAGACTCTGCCTCAATTCTAAAGAAAAAAAATCTTTTGTTTCAATAAGGGCTGTCTCTGGTAATATTTTTTTTTGTCTTGTTCTCAATTTCTTATGAAAATATCAACTTTGCTTTTATTTTTAAGACCTGATTCTGTAAGGCGGGGAGCTGTTCCTGAGCTATGCTGAGCACTCCAGGCTTGCACGGAGGCATTCTGCACTCCTCAGGTCTTAAGTCTTCAAGCCTTGCATTAAAAGCTTAAAATGTTAGTAGGCGCTGAGACGCTTACTGAGTCAGTCTTCATTTTATTTGTGCTGTGTAGCAGCAGCAAAATGGTTACTCAGAACCTAGATACAACAGAGAGGAGGCAGCTAATGTGAGATTAATTGCTTCACATTATTAACAAGGCCTTTGTCTTTGATTTTGCGGAAAGGCATGTCTGTGTGTACCCCCTGCAGTTGTGTGGTATAAGAAATGTTCAGCTTTTGTTTGGAAGCTTCAAGTACACAGGCTCAGAAGGAAAAAAAAAACAACTTCCCTACAAATACTGTGTAGCTGGTTGGGATCTTTATATTCCATGTAAATAGCAAAGTATACCTTTAGAATTTCGATTGCACATTGCCCTTTCACAGTAATATCTTTGGTTTTATTTTTCTTTTAGAGAAGGGGTAGAATGGAGGTTTGTAACAGGAAATACAAGTGTTACTAAATTAAAATCTCTTTGGTACCTTTCACGGCTGTGTGGAAGTGTTTAGTATTTCTGCTGAAAAGCAAGGACAGTATGTTTTGAATGCCTTGTGCTGTTATTAGAACGCATTTTTTTTATTTTTTTACAATTATTTTCCCGATGTACAGTAATTCTGATGACACTTGCATAGTAATGATGGTAACAGTGTGATAGATTATTCACAGTTGTAATGATTATGGTGCCATACTTCTAAATTGTGTAAGGAAAAGTATTTAAGAATTTTTTTTTAATGGCTTTTTGTAAAAAAAAAAATAAGGAAATGGCTATCCTTTAAATAAGACAGAATTATATTCTTACACCTTAAGGGATGCACAAGAGAGATTCTCTGTAATAGTGTGAAAGTGCCCACAGTAGATCAGACATGGAGAAGCTACATTAACATATTTGTAAAGGAAAAGTACTGTCTCTTGGCTTTTGTGGCTCTTATACCCCATAGTGCTAGTGTTTTACAGTCCTTCCATTGTCCATTACTGCAAACACGTCCAGATGAATTCAGCGTTTAATGTTAAAAATCTTATAACATGCCAGTTTGATTTGTAGCCCTTCATATCATGGAATGCTAATTAAAATCATATTTTTGCATATGTCATGCCTTTCATGTACATATGCAAATAGAGTCTATTGCCTTTCAGCTATTAGTAATTAACTTTATGAAGGACAGCTGTAATACATAATTAACAAAAATGTTTGCAAGCCCTTTTCACACTGAAAGTTGCAGCAGTAAAATTTTTGCTTATCGAGAGAACCATTTTAGTTTGAAGCTTCAGTGTGATATCTAAATTGTTTGAAGCAGTCACATGACATAATTAAATTGATGTTATGGTCTTATCAGCAGAAGAATGGTACTTGATAGGCTCCTATCTGTTTCATTATGTCTGTCACCAAAATTAAAGTAAATTATCTGTGTTGTGTTTGGTAGAAACATAATGCCAGGTAGTATATATTTTGCTGTTGATGCTTTGAACAATGTCTTGCCAGTTTGAACAATATTCCTCTCAAAGTGTATTCATGAACATGTGCTTCACCTTTGCCATCCTTTTTTTCACAAAGCTATAAAATAAGCTATTTTATAGCTAAGGCTATTAATTTGTTTCCATGTATATCTCTTTAAATAATTAATACAATGAAGTTTGACCAGACATTAGCAGTGATTAAAGCATCTCATCTTGCTGTATTTTTGTGTTACTCATTCAAAACAATGGAATGACTTGTATGAAGAAGGGTTGCAGGATGGGCCCATTAGGCTTAAATAAATTCAAAGGTGTAACTAAAACTCTATTAGTTTATAACATGAGAAAACGTTAGTTAGGTAAAATAGACTATATTATCAGTATATTGTATAAGATGTTCTAATTTGCAAAGGGAAGCAGAAACAGGTTTTCCATTCTTTGATCAGCAATGTATGGTTGTGATTACTTATTTGTTAGAAAAATAGCCAAATGACTGCAATCTGAAGAAAACCTGTCGTTACAGAATGGACTCCCAGATTTAAATCGTAGCCTAGCAGGGGTTTTTAAAAGCCCACCTTTAATGAAATATGTTCAAGTGCATGCTCAAAACAGAAAAATACTGTATTTAAAAACAAAACCAAAAAAGTATTAATAAAAAACCCAATCTTCCTGGCTTTTCTGTTTGTTTGGTAGGGTGGCGTTTGTGATGAAGAAGCATTTGAATACTCATTTACTGGGCAAGCATGGAGTTGGCACACCCAAAGAAAGGTAAACTACTTTAAAATTCTTTCTCATTTTACCTTATATAATATGTGGAGACTTTATCTAGAATATTTAGCTTATCCAGAATGAAGTCACCTGGACTTTTAGCTCAACTCCAACTACAGAGGGAGCTAACATGCTTAAGTGCTCTGCCAGCGTGGTGCTTATGACATGTCTGTGGGTGTCAATAGAAAAATGGCTGTAGAAAGCAATTCTACGTAAAAGGTGCAGTATTTGCACCTTTTGGGGCGTTTTTTTGACAGGTGATATTATTTTCTCAAAATTTCCATAGTTGTAACTGTCCCTCCAAGTACAGAACAAAATCTTATTCTTTTTTTTTTTTTCCCTTGCTGGCCTTGATGCTCATAGCTTTATAAAATGACTTTCCGACATTTATGTTGATCACTGAGGTCAAAGCCACAGAGGAATCAAAAGGAAAGTTTCCTCAGTGTTCTTGGGCAGGAACAGAGATCTGGTGTTTTGACTATTTTTAAAACGAATTAATTTATTTTTCCAATCTGTATACAGTTACTTATTTTCAAACTTTTTTTGCGAGCAGGTTATTTTTTCTGTGGTTTAAAATGTTACTGTGTGTTACAAACTAAATAGCATTGTGTTTGCAAATAAACAGATTTTGCCTCGGATTTATTAGGCACATTGTGGCATAGCTATTGTTATTTCATTGAATTTTTGGGGCAACTAGAAACTGGATGGGTTTTGGATTGCCAAAAGGTCACATATTCTCTTTCGGTCTGGGTAGACGGAGGTATCCTACCTGCAGGGTTCACTGCTGGATGCTTGATACTGTTCCAAGTATTACTGCCTTGTAACTCATTCTTTCAGTGTATGCTTTCATAAATAAAGAGTATTTTCTGGTTTTGATATTAAAGAAGGGGAAAATAAATGATAGGTAGTAGTTGTAGGAGAACACTGCAAAACTCTTTCTGGGTCACGTTGAAGATGCTGGAAATGGTAGTCCATTAGACCCTTTCCTCACAGGTTCATCACACTTAAATCTCACTGAGTGACCCAAGAGTAGAATTTTAAATTAACACACCATATACACCTTATGTTTGACTAAGCACGTATTTAAGTGGTGCTTATATTTTTAATGAGATTTCCTCTACAAAGTGCTTAACCAGAATTTCCCTAACACATGGTTATTTAAAGAGTTCTGAGATATTCTGTTTCATCTAAAATATAGAATGATGCATCGAAACAACAATTACGGTTTCATCAAAGCAGATATCATATTAAAGTTTATGCTGGTTATCTTTTGTCATAGCGCAACAATTACAAAAAATGTTTTGCTCTGGTGGCTTATTTTGTAACTGGAAGCATTCAATACCACTATGTTCTTTTACAAGGGGGTACTTACTGTATAATCATCATAAATACAACATAGAGATAACTTGCGTTACCCTAGTGAATATGTGCGCAATAAAGGATACATACAATAGATTTCCAAATATAGCATCTTAGCCTGAGAGGCATATTTTTAGCGATCATCATCTTGAAATGAATTCCTAAACAAGCAGGATGCTATAATCTGAATCGGTTGTTGCTGGCTTTTGTTTGCGTGTTTCTTCTGAAAGCCTTCTGGCTGTTTCCATTTTCCCCATTTCTTCCCATAGTCCTCAAAGGCTTTCTGGCTGGCTCTCCAGCACGGTGCGGGGGGGGTGCCTGCCACCCCTCCACAAGGTGGCGGGTTCACAGCCCTTGCAGCGCCGGCTGCCCGAGGAGCAGAGAAGCCAGCTCAGGCCTGCAACCTCCCTGCCCCATCCGGTAGCGCAGGCTGTTGCAGCTTTACCCCCAGGCCGGCATAAACAAGTGATATTTGAGTGACTTCATGCTCTCTTCCTTTGAAATTTCTTCATCCATCTTTTGAATATTTCTTATCTACAATACCTTTTTAGCTGGCACTTCAGCTTCATGCAGAGCAGCATCATACAGTAGTGGCAGAGCTACAACAACAATATAATTTTCTAGTAGCAGTCCCTCACTGGTGATGGTGGATGTTTAAGCCACGTGATCTGGTGCAGTAAATACCAAACCACCGTTGCTTTCCTTTCCACCTTTCCCTTCCTATTATGAGAGAGTTTGATGCCATTTAATGGCTTTAAGGAACCAAAGAAATCCTTCTTCGGCATGTTAAACCATCACTTTGGGTATAAACATATCATAAATTAAGTTATGTAGTTTTCTTACCTATTTAAAACATTAATGCCTTGATTATAATTTTGCAAGCTTGCTATTTTTTAATTTCTCTAGGACAATATAATCAGTTTATTCTTTATGTTTTGAATTTGATTCTGCCCTCTGATACATTGCATATTATAGCAAATACTAATAGAAGCTAGCTAAATAGGCTGTGACAATTAAATTAATAATGCATTTTATTTGCAAGTGTTTAGTCTTCATGGTTTGACTGATATATGCAAAGATGGTAATTTATTAAAAGTAAATTCATGTAATTGTACTACAGAATTTGATGGACCAAAAAAAGTTGTCAGCATGACTATCATCAAAAACAGAAAATTGAAATAAGTTCAAAAGGGTGCTTGAAAAAAATAGTTATAACCCATACACCCTGAGAAATTGGTGCCCTTTTAACAAACTTCTCAGAAAGGAATTTCTGGTGACAAACATTGAGATAGTTCTGAGAGGGAGAGAAAAAATACATCTACAATTCAGTAAGCAGTACTGAACTAGTGTGCCTTGCTCTTTCTAGCTTTCCATAACCCGTAATTATTGCTTTTTTTCTATGCACAAAAGGGACGAGTTATGGAGGCTGTGGAAGTGTTTGCATGTGCAGATATAGAAAACAAGTATAATTCATAAGAAGATTGCTGCTAAAACATCTTTTGTTTTGAGTTTTTTCTTCTTTTTTGGAAGACAAAATTGATTTAAGGGGGAAATACTGTGCAGTTGAAAATCACAGAAGTTTAAAAAAATAGCCTTGTAAAATGCCTGCACATCTCGGCCACAAAAAACCCTACTGCCTAGTCCATTATGATCATTACCATTTAATAGCTAACTCAAAAGTGGAATGTTTTAACACCAAAATTCCTCTAAGGTATTTTTTCCTGTTATTGGAAGTGTGATACTGATTTATTGTCAACTTGAATGTGTCTCAAAACTGGCATGTTATCTGCTAAGTCCAAGGCCAGTACATATTTGGTACTTCAGTGTCAGTAATCTTCATGGGACCTATAACTGTATCTTATTGGCGGGATAAATCTTTGGCTACACCTTTATTGTGTCTAGGAGACAATGTGGTTGAGGACAAGGTGAATGCATCAGTATAATGGTGCCAAGTTCTAATTTCTGTTACATCATTATGTTACTTAGGTGTAAATTGTGGCAAAACACAGAACAAACAGAGATGCTCCACTGTTGAGTATAAGATATATACATACACACACATAAAATATGCGCAAGAAAATAAAAATAAAATCACTAAGTCATTCATCAGTGAGACTGAATTTTGCCACTATTAAACACAACTCTGGATTTAGAAATTTTTCATATGAAAAATACATTTAACTATTCTTTAGAGGTTTTTTTTTTCAGGACACCATTAGTACTATACAGTATGCATTTTATAGTATATAAGACTGTTAACTAGAATTCTGATACATCTGTTTAAACTATTTTTTTTTTTATGTTTACCACAGAAAGGGCTTTACTGACAGTTGTTTAATTACCTCATCTTCCTTAGGAATTTTAAATGATGAGTTGCCTCTGAACTAACTTTTTGCATATGAGTAATCTTATTGAGTCAAATAGGATCATTCATATATATATAAAGTTACTTGGAGCACAAACACTTGCTGAACTGGAATCTGTGTTACAAAACATTTTCTGTAAATGTCATTAATAATGTGTTTGGTTTTTGTAAGGTTGTTCTGGCATTTTTTCGTAAGGTTCTGGTGTTTTTTCGTGTGCTTTAAAAATGGATCACTGTTACAGTGCTAGTAACATTATATGAAGATCATATGATTTTCAAACGACCTTAATTGATTGGAAAAGCTGTGTAACTATTTCAACTTGAGAGCAACAGCTATAAGTAAATACCTATTACTATGTAATAGCAGCCTAAATATATTTGAGATGCTTTTTCAAATAATGTTGGAAGATAGTGTACTTCAAAAATGTGTGTATTTTTTACACAATTGCTTTGAAGTAAAAAGAGGAATTTCCAAGGTGCCTGTTGTTCAGTGTGCTTGCCTAAGCCGACGTGAATTTTGGAATATCAAGTGCTACTAACATGTTGTATGAATATGGTAAAATGTACAAGACTGCATGATATGTCATTGGAAGGCATCGTTGAGGTCTGAAAGAAAAGTAGCCAGGAAAAATGAATGGGGGTTTGATGTTCTGTGTACTCTTTAGAAAATGGTTTTGTAATAAATCGTGTTGTCCTGGTATTTCCATTTTGAATGTAAAACTAGAAGTGAATTAAGTCCTTCGGTCCAACCCTGTTCTATTTAATTGAACTGTTAATCCTTCTTTTGAAACATTTTTCTTTGAGTAGAGAAATTTCTGATAGTACCTATTTGATATGCCTGTTTTGTATAATATTACCCCGTACCTGCAAAGTAAAAAGATCCAGTTGATGAAGCAGCACATTTTGGGAAAACGAGTGGCAAAAGTCACAGAGCGATGTGTCATACATACATATAAGTACACAATCATCTTGTAATAACTTACGTTCTGAAAGAAGGAGTTCTCTAAATGACTGTCTCGCTGGAAGATTTCCAGTTAGAGGCGTTGGTAGTACATACGGATACACAGAGGAGAGGCTACCTGTAACCACTGGAGGGTAACGTGCTGGGTCTGGCCATCAAGCCTTGTCATCACCTTTTACTGCTTCTTGCAAATAATTTTGAGCTTTCCAACTGAAACCTAACATTGCTAGTTTAACTGGATGGGAATAAAAAACTTACTTAATTGATTGTTTCCTGCATTTGGCTTAAAAAGGATCTTGGAGAGTTACAGAATCA